CTCCCAGTTTAAGGGGCCAGCGCTCTACTCCTTAACTCCTTGAGCCACAGGTGCCGCCCTTCATCTCTACTCTTTGCCAACTCTTCCAAACCCCTTCTTTCCTGACACCCCTTTCTCACCACCCTCCCTCCTTGTTATTCTTTCCCCTCTGCCTTTTCCTTTACAGCACTTACTGTAATGGGCAATTATGTATTTCTTTTTTTTGAGACAGAGTCTCAAGGAGTCGCCCTGGGTAGAGTGCCATGGTGTCACAGCTCACAGCAACCTCAAACTCTTGGGTTTAAGCTATTCTCTTGCCTCAGCCTCCCAAGTAGCTGTGACTACAGGCACCTGCCACAGTGCCTGGTTATTTTTTTGTGCAGTTATCACTGTTGTTTAGCTGGCCTGGGCCAGATTCAAACCCACCAACCCAGGTGTATGTGGCCAGCACCTTACCCACTGAGCTATGGGCACTGCCCACAATTATGTATTTATTGATGCTTTTTTTTTTTTGAGATAAGATCTCTCTGTTGCCTAGGCTGGAATGCAGTGGTGTCCTCATAGCTTATAGCAACCTCCCACTCCTGGGCTCAAGTGATCCTCCTGCCTCAGCCTCCCTAGTAGCTGGGACTCCAAGCGGGTACAACCACACCTGGCTAGTTTTTCTGTTTTTTTTTTTTAGAGACAGAGTTTCACTTTATCACCCTCAGTAGAGTGCTGTGGCATCACAGCTCACAGCAATCTCCAACTCCTGGGCTTAAGTGAGTCTCTTGCCTCAGCCTCTTGAGTAGCTGGGACTATAGGTGCCTGCTACAATGCCCAGCTATTTTTTTGTTGCGGCTGAGGTCAGGTTCAAACCCACCACCCTGGGTATGTGGGGCCAGTGCCCTACTCACTGAGCCACAGGCGCTGCCCAGTTTTTCTGTTTTTTGTAGAGAAAGGGCCTCACTGTTGCTCAGACTGGTCTTGAAGTCCTGGGCTCTGCGATCCTCCTGCTCTCAGTCTCCCAGAGTGCTGAGATTATAGGCGTAAGCCACTGAGCTGGCTGGTACACTTACTTTCTTTTTTTTAATTAATTCATTAATTTTTTTGTTGTTGTTTTGGCTGGGGGCTGGGTTTGAATCCACCACCACCGGTATATGGGGCCAGCGCCCTACCACTTTGAGCCACAGGCACCACCCCTGGTGCACTTACTTTTTAATTGTTCATCTTTCCCTACTAAAGATCTGTTTTCCCCTACAGGCTCATGAGGGCAGAGAGCTTGTCTATTTGATTCATTTCTGTGTTCCCAGTGCCTAGCAGGATGCCCAGGTCCTAGGAGGCTCTCAGGAAAGGACAGTTGGATGAATAAATGAAAGAGCCCCTCACCTCCCCCACCCTGCACTTGGAGCTGGCACTCATTTGCCCCAAGGCTCTGGGTGCTGTTTCTCCCCTCTCTCGGCCTCAGCCCTTAGCTGCAGCACTGGCTTCTCCTAGCAGTGGTTCTCAACCTTCCTAATACCTCAACTCTTTAATACAGTTCCTCATGTTGTGGTGACAACCCAACCATAAAACTCATAGTCACCGCAACATAAGGAACCATGTTAAAAGGTCATGACATGGGAGGCGCCTGTGGCTCAGTGAGTAGGGTGCCGGCCCCATATACCGAGGGTGGCAGGTTCAAACCCAGCCCTGGCCAAACTGCAACAGAAAATAGCTGGGCGTTGTGGCAGGCGCCTGTAGTCCCAGCTACTTGGGAGGCTGAGGCAGAAGAATCGCCTAAGCCCAGGAGTTGGAGGTTGCTGGAGTGACTCCGCTGCACTCTACCAAGGGCGAAAAAGTGAGACTCTGTCTCTACAAAAAAAAAAAAAAAAAGGTCATGGCATTAGGTTGAGAACCACTGTCTAGGGTCAGTAGCAGGATGCTTTGCCCCAGGGCACCCTGGTCTTATTGAGAGAGGAGCCTCACCTGTGACACAGAGGCTGTGAGGCGTGACCATTGACTCTCAGCCTGATGGAGGGAGAGACTGCTTTGGGCTAAGCAAGGAGTTAAAGTTGGAGCAGGGTCAGATGTCAGTGAGCAGGGAGGGAGGCGAAACTGCTATCATGTGGGGGGTTCAAGTGGAGACCAAGGAGTATGTGTGGTAAGGAGTAGGGACCCTATCTTTAGGGCCTCTAATAATAGTTTGGACTTTATTCTGGGCAAAAAAGTGGCTTCAGCTAAGGTGCATTTTTGTTTTGTTTTTGTTGTTTTAGACAGAGTCTCACTTTGTTGCCCTGGTGTCATAGCTCACAGCAACCTCAAACTCTTGGGCTCAAGTGATTCTCTTTCCTCTGCCTCCTGAGTAGCTGGGACTACAGATGGCTGCCACAACACATGGCTATTTTTAGACACAGGGTCTTGCTCTTGCTCAGGCTGGTCTTGAACTCCTGAGCTCAGATGATCCACTTGCCTCAGCCTCCCAGAATGCTAGGATTATAGGTGTGAGCTACCAAGTGCAGTCAAAAATTCTGTTTTAGAAGAATCCCCCTGGCAGAATTGTGGAGAGTGGATCAGAGAAGTAGGACCATCATTTTTTTGAGGGCTTCCTATCCTAAGTGCTAATAAGACTTAGTGTATTTAACTCTTATGATAATGTTGTGAGGTAGATGTTATTTACAATTACTATTTTTTGGTGGTGGTGGTGGTGGTCAGAAGGTGCTTTATTTGAAGGGAGGGGCTCCAGCATCCTGCAGCTATAACTGAATCTCCTGGAATGCTCGCTTCTCCACGAGCTTCACTTTGTACTTGCGCCTGAACTTGGCTCTTTCCAGAGGTTCGATCATATTCCTCCTCTGGAATACAACTGCTATTTAGATTAGAAATCTGCCTGTAATCCCAGCACGCTGGGAGGTCGAGGAGATGGATTGCCTGAGCCCCTGGGTTTGAGACCAGCCTGAGCAAGAGCAAGACCTCTATCTCTAAAAATAGCCAGGCATTGTGGCAGGTGCCCATAGTTTCAGCTAGAGGCTGAGGCAAGAAAATCACTTGAGCCCAGGAGTTTGAAGTTGCTGTGAACTGTGACACCATAATTTTATGGTTGGGGGGTCACCACAACATGAGGAACTGTATTAAAGGGTTGCAGCATTAGGAAGCACTATACCTAGGCAACATATCCTAGGTAGGATCCCAGAAGGACTGGAAGGCTACACTAAATATCTTTTGTGGCACTCTACCAAAGGCAACTGTGTCTCAAAAAATTAAAATTAAAAAAAAAAATTTAAAAACTGAGTCAAGAAGTTCACTTGAGCACAAGAGTTTGAGGTTGCTGTGAGTCATGGCACCATGGCACTCTACTGAGGGTGACAAAGTGAGACTGTCTCAAAAAAAAAAAAAAAATAGAAATCTTTGATTAGATTTCTTCATTCGGAAACTTACTTCTTCCCATCCCCTGGGATTCTGGAGGAATTATCACAGTGCCCCACTTGTTCCTTGGCCATGGGTGTGGTGTGAAGTCCAGGCCTGACCAATCATTGGAGCCCTTGCCCTGCTAATAGCAACTAGTCCAAGGCATGATCATGTGATCCAAGAAGACTGAGTCTTGGAATGCTGAAGATATGGGTACCGGGAGGTAGTCCATCTTTTCTTTTTGGATCTCAAGCTATAACTATGTAGGGTTAGGGTTAGGGGTATCTGGAGTCAATTTTCCATGACTTAGAGAAAACTTCTATGTAACAGGACTGAATGTGGTGGCCAATGCACCAAAAATCCCAGAGATGAGAAATTTATGTGAACAGGAAAAGTTGATGACCATCTTTCAAACTCTGGGTCCAGCCACACCTAAAGATATTCCCAGTTAGAAATTCCCAATACATATAGCATTAAGTCACATTAGTTGGCTCGGCACCTGTGGCTCAAGTAGCTAAAACACCAGCCACATACACCTAAGGTGGCGGGTTTGAATCCAGCCCAGGCCCACCAAACAACAATGACGGCTGCAACCAAAAAATAGCCAGGCGTTGTGGTGGGCGCCTGTGGTCCCAGCTATTTGGGAGGCAGAGGCAGGAGACTTGCTTGAGCCCAGGAGTTGGAGGTTGCCGTGAGTTGTGATGTCATGGCACTCTACCCAGGGGAATAGCTTGAGGCTCCGTCTCAAAAATAAATAAATAAATAAATTACATTAGTTTGTGTTTTAAAAACACACAAAAAATAAGCCTCCAAGGAACTAAGTAATTTGTTCAAGGCCACACAACTAGCAAATAACAGAACCAGGATTTGAGCCTCTGTTAGTCCAGCACCTGTGCTTATTTCACTCTGTTGTGTCATGACAGTGGGGACAGCAGGCATGCAAACCAGCTAGCAGCTACTGCTCTCTATAAAACCAGGTGAGCAACAGGAAGGTCTGGTCTAAGGCAGCAACCTGGGGAGAGGGGAGTTCAGGAGGGATCATGATGGAATTTGGGAAGACTTGAGTGTGAAGGGAGAGGCTCCAAGGACCCTTGAAGGTCTAGAAACCCAGAGCAGAAGGGTGTCTGAGAGATTTTCAAGCAAGGAGGAAAGATGGTGACAGAGATGGGCTTGCCTCTGATAAGGAGAGCTGACAGGCAGGATGAGACCTCTCACCAAGAGACCTAGGCAGGAGCAAAGCCAGCTTGTGGGTGTTGATGAGTTCATCTGGAACCATGTGGGAGGCCAAGGCCTGGGGTCACCCACAGGCCAAGGTTGAAGGAGAGAACAATTAGAGATGGAGGAGGAGGAAGCTGGGTGATCATCATGGAGAACATGGAGGACAATGGAAGTCAGTGTCCCAGCTGACAGGCCAGAAAGAGGAGGAGGATGCCTAGTGATCTTGGAAGCCAGCAGAGCATAAGCAAAGGTGATGCTTGTGGACTCAGCAGCAGATGAAGGGGAAGTGGTCAGAAGGGTGACTGGAAAGACTATCCCCTCCCTATTGACTAACTCAGATCCATGCTGCTAGAACGTAGTACATTTCAGACCAAGGCTGAACTCACACAACTTATCTATGCTTTGTCCAATGAGCCACAAACAGGTTTCATTTTTTTAAACATTTTAATAAAATTAACAAATAAATATTCTAAACTGAATAGGCTACAGGGATAGAGTGGAAGCCAGAGGACTCATCTTTCCCTCTCCAGCCCTTGGGTCCCCTTACAGAGAGACTCTGCTCTGGGCTGGTTTGGGAGTAGGGTTGGGACTTGGGGAGGGAGGTAGTGACTCCGGAATGGGTGATCTGGGCTCTTGCACACCATCCCTCTTTGTTGTTACAGGGGAAGGGAGAAGTGCTCAGAGAGAGCAAGACCCTGCAAGATGCATCCCAGGGACCACCAGAAGTGATGGGGCAGGGGGAGAGCTAGTCTGAAAGGACAGAAGGGCAGGGAGGGTGGGAGTGAAGCAGGGTGGTGAGCACAGCCATTGGTGGGCTCAGGTAGCTTTTGTACCCATGACCACTCACTCTCGGACGTAGACCCTGGTGCAGACAATGTCATCCGCTGTCATGGTCTGGAAGGACAAAAGGTGTTGTTAGCCTGGGAGGCCCCTCGAGGCTTGTGGCTTTGGAAGAAGAGAGTTGAATGCAGATACTCAGTTTGGACTCCAGGTCCAAATTTGCCTCTTTACTCAGGACCAACAGGCAGGAACTAGTACCAGAATACCTGGGAATCTTTGAAGGAAGGATGGCAATAGAGGCCATCAGAGGCCCATCCTCTCTCCTAAGCCTGGAATATTCCCCCTGGGGTTCTTTGGTTTGTGAATATGTGTCCTTTGCTTTGCACAAGAGGGATACCATTTCTAAGTCACACAAGGACCCTCCCTGTATGGTAGGGACAACTTAGTCTTGTTCAAGCAGTTCCACAAGGAGGGTAGAGAGACCAGCTGCAGTTGTTCTGGAATCTCTTGTACCCTAGAGTCTCCCAGAGAATCTCTGAAGACAGCACTGGGTTTGCTTTTGGTTGGGAGGAAGCAGGACTTACCAGGATCAGCTCCCCATCATTGGTCAGTTCTCTGGTCCAGGAGGTCTTGGGGCCCTCCCCCTTCAGAAGCCTCTGCTCACAGACCATTTTGTTCTCAGTCTCCCACTTTACCAGGCTCTGCAAGAGACGGGTGGCCAAGTGAGCTAGGCCCACAGCAGGCACAATGCAGTGACAGAGAAAAGGGATAGATTCTCTTTCTATCCCCACCACTACCCAAGGAACTTCTCCATTGGGAATGGAGAGAAGAAGCTAGGAAAGACTGGAAAATGTCCGGAAACTGTGGCTCACTCCTATAATCCTAGCACTTTGGGAGTCCAAGATCAGCTGAGCTCACGAGTTCAAGACCAGCATGAGAAAAAGCAAGACT